TCCTTTGTGTGTTTGTCTCACAAAAATATTTATTTTTATTCCTTGCCTCACAGCTGTGCAAAGAAACAAGCAAGCATCTGTTTGTATTCCAACCACCGCAGGACAAGGTTGTGGGCTCCCTATAAGCATGCATGTTCTAGAACATTATTACTACTATTATTATAAGTAAATTATCAAATTAGCTCATAAGGCATATATTTACAGCCATTTGGGTTTATTTCTGAAATATATAATCCAAGTCTAAATTATGGATTATATAAGGTGGACATGCATTTCTTAAACCTGTAAAAAACTACCGCATAGTTTCCAATATTCTTTATAATGTTTCCTAATTAACTTGTATTTATTTTTCTAATTATTGACTGAGAGCAAAATAATATTATAGAGACTTCATTGACCAGAGAACCACAGAGACTCACATCTAGAGCAGTTTTTTTCTGTTTGATTGTACAATTTTTAGTGTGCCCAGTACCAAACACAGTAGCATTTCTTTCTAGGAATTTGTATCACTCGTAGTTTGTTTTAATGACCAATATAATGATTCGTAATTCAGTTGTCATCATAATTCAGGTTTAAAATTCACATTTTAAGACATTTAATAGCAAATAGTGAATTCTGTATCTATATTAGAATACTGCAGAGCGATGGAAGGGCTGTCTATGCACTTGATTATGGAAATGCTTCTGTCCACATGATGCATTTTCCACATTGCTAAACAAAAACGAGACTGAGGACTTTACATTATCTAAATTAGAGCACTTGTTCTTTCAGACTTAATTTTGCTGTCTTTAGCCAGCAGAAATTTGCAGTGACGTGGGAAGCCCCTTCTGGGATCAGCCACCTGCTTTACAGTAAATATGAAATAGACAAAAAATGATGCTAGCTTCCCTAGATTCTCCCTCGATGCCTCACTGGATTAATAAATAAGGGGGCATTTTTTCATAGCTAATTTAAGGTCTGATTGTGATAGGAGATTTGGGACTTTCAGAGTATAACAGTACATATAGAGCACAAATTTCTTATGTCATGTTCATTGCTTGCAGAAATATTGATCCTGAATGACTGGATTGACTAGTTTAGGATGTAAGACTAGCACATATCCTGAAATATGAACTGGTAGCCATTTGCCCACTGAGGGAGCACCCTAACTACTATTATATTATACTGTTCTGTGGATTTCTGCTGGCATGAATCTCACCTTTATTCCACAAATCAAACATGGTATGTTATTGGAGTGTAAGAGGTATTGGCTGTACAATGACTAACACAGCGAAAACTGTCATCTGTTCCATTAAGCAGGGCCAATACGGCGCCGAGAATTCAGTGAAAAGCTTTTCTCCGAAAGTTAAATGACCACCTGAGGGAACTGGAAGTAATTCGCATGTAATTCTTCATCCAGAGAGGGGAAATGGGGTGCAGAAAGGGCAGCTCAACATTAAACAAGGATGGATGGGAAATGATGATCTGCTGAAAGTCAGCTATTATTTCAGCGGCGACTGCAGCAGGCCCTCTACAGCCTATTGGTATTGAAAATGCTGAAAGATCGCTGCATCAACTGATTTTCCCACTCAAGTCGAGTATTTATATCAATTTCACATAAACTGTCAACATGTCATGAATACAAACTGATAGCAATACCAATGGACCTTATTTATAAACATTTTTAAAGTGGGTGATTAATACTTTTTAAAAATAAATACACACTACAGCGTTTAATTCCAAAATAATTTTACAGAACATCAATATTATTCAAACCAATTTAAATAAATTAATCCATATTTTATACGGTACACGCACATGTGGATTGGTCCAGGAATACATTACTTACTTAACTGTTTAGAACCGTGTTACCTAAACCTATAAATAAGACCATTATGCAAAACTAGAGTTTTCTAAACACACACAAGCACTGTATGTGGGAAACACAAACAAGGTTTCAGTTAGTGAATTGAGCAAAGTTTCGGGTTTACGAGGCACACGAGACGGATGCAGAGCGATGGCAGCCACAGCAGCGCTGTCACTGTCACTCTGCACATGCTCAACCCCCACTGCCACCCTCAAAATTCCTGGCCATCAACAGTTTAACCAGGATGACAAGTAGTTAAATGACCTTTGCTTCAGAGCCCCTCGTTAAATAAAACAATTTCAGCATATCTTACGTTACAGTTTTTCATGTTAAAATCCTTGTTCTAATCTGGCAAATATATCAATATATTAAGAATAAATAATCAAAAATTATATTGGGACCTTTTCATACCTATACGCTTTCTGACATTCACTTTTATTGTATTACTTTTATAAAATCCAATAGATAACTAAGTATAACAATAAATAATAAATTGAAAACTAAATTTAATTATACAGAACTGTCAAGTAGCAAAAGGTTATTATTTTTCTCTGTTCGTCCATTTTCCAGCTGCTTCCTCTGGCCTGCAGCCAATCCCCGGCAGCTCGGGACACAAGGCTGGGGACGCTCGGGACACAAGGCTGGGGACACTCTGGACACAAGGCTGGGGACACTCTGGACAGGACACCAGTCCATCACAGATGTCAGCTATCATAAGTGCATGTCTTTGGACCATGGAAGGAAACTGCAGTAGCTGGAGAAAACCCACGCGGTTTGGTAAGAACATGCAAAACATAGACAGAGCGGAGGCTGGATGCAAAACCCTGACCCTGGAGGTGCTACCCAATTATTATTATTATTATTATTATTAGCATTATTATTATTATTATTAGCATTATTATTGCTGCTAAATTATGACATAGTATTGAATATTCTGTATTATGAATAATATATAAAGACAAGATCTGCAGCAAACACTGAATTTAATATTAAATATCAAAAACCATGCAATGTTCAGCCATGCAGCCAGGCAGAGCCTAAGCAGATTCATGAGGAATGTTCTCAGACTGGAGGGAATTCTGCACGTTCACAGTGGAGTTACACAGCTTTGTATAATGAGAAATCAGACATGCAGTCAAATTTAAAAATCAAAAAGGCTAACATCTAACCTTCGCTCTCATTAAATGCCTCTCGAGCTTCAAACACTGTGCATTTCTGCACATTTAAAACCTGCAGTTGGTCCCTTTGTGGTAATGACAAAATATTCTTGCCATCAGAAGTCCTGCCATTCAATCAATAAGATATGTGCTCATTATGACTAATAATAATCATACTGTTGTGTGTCTTCATCCTGCACTTCATATAAAAGTTTACCAAGGGAAACCAATTCAAAAATTACAGGGTTCCAATTCAAAAATTACACTAACGACTGCTATATTTCTGAATAAACATACAAAAGACAGCAGAAAAAGTTGCAAAATGTGCAAAACGTTGAGAAATAAAATAGTCAATTAGTTAAAAATAGACATCCACATTTCTAAGCTTGTAAGGTATGGTCTTCTTGTCACATAGACATCTTGCTTTTCTATTAATATTTTCCTCTTTCTTTCTGCCTTAGTGAGGATGTATGATGACAACAATGCCATAGGCATCACTAATTAGCAACACAGTGAACCGTCATACATTTAAAGGAAGTTAAAGGAAGCCATTTAGTAATTAAATTTCTTTGCTATAACATGTCTTAAGTTTACCGTTTGCAAAATATTACAGGTGGTGATTTTGGTTTTGGAGAGTTGATTGTGTGGTACACAGAAGGATGTTACTGGAAGCATCAAGGTAACCGTCAACTGGAAAGATTCAATGCAAGCTGTGCTCTTCCTGTGTCCTGACTCCATACTGTAAAATCAACACCCATAAGCCAAAGTAATATTGAATAAGCAAAATCAATACCGCCATGGATACCTAGTGGTGGGTGAACTGCCTTGAGAGGGGATCCAGCCTCAATTCCCTGCCACTCCTCACTAGCCATCTGTGGTGGAGGGATGCCCCCCCCCATACCCTGTCTCTGCGGCGGGACGGTGCTCTGCCTCTGGTCGCGTCACATGCAGAGTTAAAGGAAGTCGGTGATTGATATTTGATAGCCTCTGCTGGTGGTCATGTTGAGCAAGAGATCTGCTAGAACTGGGTAATTCCATGAACTGGGACAATAAAAAATAAATCAGTGTTCAACTGGGTCCAACACACTGTACGAGTGCCTGGTTCATGATGCACTCTGAATAAATCTTTAACTTGTGTTTTTTTTCTTCCAAATTTTCCTAATATATACATATATCTGTAGCTGTTTGTAATTTTAGCTCTTAGACACAAAGGAACAATAAAAAACAAAGGCACAGCCCAACATATAGGAAACTGCATCAGAGGTCACACGGACAATAAGAGTTCATTGGTGGTTTGCGTCGATTCCCTGTCTGCTGCTTGCAGTCTCTCCTTTCCTTCTCATCAAGATTGACTCAGGAGGAGCACACATGTGACCCCATCACCTGGATCTTCTAGTTATCGCCTCTGCTTCCTGGTAGATAATATCAGAGTCACTTTCCTTGCAAAGCTTAGCAGAAATCAGAAACCTTGATTATCTGACTGTTATGTCAATAAAAATAGACTTGGCCTCCCCACGGATCATTTTTTTCTTCCTTTTGGATGAATCCAATAGGTTGGGTGTGACACGCACACAACCAGGGCCACTGCTAATATTGCAGACTCAGTCCAGACTGCCATATCTGCCAGTTTGCCCTGAACATTTATGAGCTGTGTGTTCGCCATCTCACATCACTGTGGATGCAGTGATTTCTGTGTTTTGTAATGGAAATCCCTCGTTTTTGTTACTGTTAATGAACATAATTATTATCACTTTTACTTTTCTGTTAACAAGGATTATGACCATCGATAGGAAGTTTTACTGCAGTGAGTGCGTCACATGGGCAGAACACGACAGGGGATTATGGGATGCCCCTGCCGGCACCTGTCCGCAGCGGGGGG